ATTCTGAATAGTATCGAGTTATTTTCGATTTTTTTTCATTTTTTCTTTCGGTTTGACCTCTCCGCATCAACAAACCTGTTCAATCGTTGTGTTGAAAAGCATAGGCTCCTGTGACACTACTCCAATGTAGTTTCGCAGGAACTCGATGTTGATCTTGTCAATTTCCACACCGTCTATTGTAATCTGCAAAAATCGATATATTGATTGAATCTTTTATCCTCCATCCTTATAACCAGTTGGCGCCGCACGCTGGTGGGCGCATGACACACGGCACTGCGGCGATAGGTAAGGGTGCGACCAGAATTCTCAAAGTAAGCCCAATTCACCAAAAACATTTGACTTGCGCTTCCAGATCTAGATTCTATCCGCTTCCTTTTCGGTTTCTGCGCTGTCTTTGGACCATATTACGATTGCAACTTTTGGCCCCGCCCACATCAGTGTATGCCCATCCAACGATGGCTTTTGACCCCTTCTTCCTCGCCATCCACTATCCATTTTTTCCGGTCTCTGGATTATCTCTGAAGCGATCTATAAGGTCCGCGGCAAGCTCCACCCATTCCGATGCACGCCACGCCCACTGTGGGTGGGTTCCACGTGTTGATGTGTGTTTTGCACTACTTGGACATGACCCACCCGCCCCAAATTTGAATCGGTTTCGGATCTTCAGGTAATACTGAAGCACGAACCGCTTTATAGTAAGCAGGATCTCCGCCCACTGCGATGCGCGCCACGCCCACTTTGGGCAGGGTCACGTAGCTGATGTGTGTTTGGGCTTCTTGGGTTATGACCCAACCACCCCAAGCCTGAATCTGTCTTTCCAGGTGGATCTTTATATACTACATATATCTTCAATACTGAGCACGAACCGCTTTATAGTTAGCAGGATTTATTACAATTGAAGGCTCTGCGTAGAAGCTTACATACCTTTCCGTCTTCAGGATTGTAGTACCGTAGTAGCAGCTGGATTATGGTACTTTTTCCGCAGCCACTTGAACCTACCAGTGCTATCGTTTCACCGGGGTTCGCTTCAAATGAAACACCCTGAAAGAATGGAGAAATCATCCGGCTCGAGATTGGTGGCATTTGATGGACTACCTTGAGAATAGGCACATCTGGTCGTGTTGGATAGGTGAACTTCAAATTTGATACGGTGACTTTTCCTTTGAGATTCGATGGCTTCACACCTTTGGTTGAATAGGAGTCAATTTCCGGGTCCTGAATTTTTGAAGATATAGAAATAGGAAATATTCAGTGAGTGAACTATCCAGAAGCCTTGTCCGCGAGGCAGGACTGACGCGTGAATCCACACCGCTTCGGCAAGCGCACGCGTCTAGATACTGCAGATTTGCGAGGGCGCTCTCAAAGTGGGTGTTTTTTCACATATTTTAATCTTACCCGATCGATAATCTGATAGAGAGATCCAGCGGCACCCATAGCTGTACCAAGAACAGCAAACTGAGGTCCGGCTTGTCCGAGCGCCATCGAGCCCATCATCACGGAAAAGAACACCTGAAAAAAGGCAGGTACAGTTCTGAGGACATAGCAAAGGACTTATAATTAGTACCGTCATCACAGTTCCTCCTTGCATTTGATTTTTGAAGACAAAATCCGTGCCAACCCAGAAAGCCAGGCAGTACGAAGAGAACATGATAAGAAAAGTGATTCCGAGGCCAATGCCGATGTATAAGGATTTCTTGATTCCCGTCGATTTGCCGTCTTCCAGCGCTTTTTCGTACCTGAAAATTTTGCTGAAATTAGGAGGAAGAATTTATACTAGGGGCTATAATTTTACTCTAATCATGTAATTTCTTGAAGAGTCACTGTTTTCTGACGAAGAATATTCGTGCCGATTGTTCCGAACCCTCGTTGAGATACGAGACCGAGACGCGCGCGTTCGCGTCACGGTCGCGTCACCACTACTCGGAAATTCGGTGATGTAGGAGCTTTGTTGTAGCTATACACTGATTCGCTTGATGCTGAGAATGAAATGGAAGACTGTGCAGATGTTCGGGTACCCGACAGGAGGCCCGTCGCGCGGCAAGAAGGCAGAGTCAGGGACGAGTCGCAGCGTGTTGTGCAGTGTAGGACATAGAATGCCACATCACTACAGTACGCGCGTCCGCTAACTCTGCCTTCTTGCCTACGCGACGGGCCTTTTGTCGGGCATCCCAGATGTTCTTGCTTTAGCTCTGATAAAACTAAAAAAAGCAGATATTGACGGGAGGGCGGGTGTATAGCGTGAGTCAGCGCGAGGACGCGCGCGGCACAACCGTGTGGCACTCTGTTTGGGCAACAAAACCCGTCTTTACTTCATTCACATGCGAGCTGTTACTGCATCTACTAGTTCCCACAACGCGACGAACTACAACCACCACCACTACAGGGCCCTGCCGCATCGTGGCTTGAAGTGCCGCGCCGTGACCTGAAGACACAGCCCATCCAGATACGGCCAAGTCTTCGCAGTCGACAACACCACAGCTAACACTTGTAGGTTTACCGGGTTGATCGGGAGCGAAAAAGTGACCCACATCATTTTCACTTGAGAAAAAATGATAATGATACTGATAGGAAAAGAAAGCAAGAAAATCATAAGTGATAAAATAAAAACTGTTCAAGAAGTGGACCTTATACCTTTCGCATTCGTAAGGCTGTCCGTTGAATGCGATAACAGTTCTCATTGAGGTGAGCACTTCTTCAGCAATTCCTCCCGCCACTGCGTACTTTTTGGCTTCTCGAGTAGCTGCACTGGCCATCAACTGAAAGAAGAGGCCATTGCGTTGAATCGGAACACCCAGAGAGAAGTCACAAGCTCACCTTAGCAATGAACGCTCCACAAAATGATCATTAAATGGGGAAGCCAATGTACATCATGTCAGAGTGAGTTTCCAGTCGTAAGTGAACGCCACGATGAAACCGCCGAAGAACTGCGCCACGAATTGGATCATAAGGCCAAGTTTGTCGCCGGTTCCCTCTTTGACTCGTTCCAGAATTGCTAAACAGACGAAATAAAATTGAGAGAGGTGAGATCTAGAAGTAAAGCCAAGTAAACGTTCGCATGCGATTCAACGAGGAGGGGCATGTTGGAATTCCGGCACAGGTCATGTTCTGTGAAGTCGTGAGGTCGCCATAGAAATGTGGAATGGGTGTGAACGAGATTTTCCAGAAATCCAGTATTTTCACATGTTTTTTACTATTTTACTTCTTGTGGACTCCCTCGATGAACCAGTTCTCTTCCCCCTCCCCGTTCCCGCCGTCCAACTGTACGGACTTTCAAGGGAAACGGGAAAGCAGTGCTGGACTTGAATAAAATTCTTACTCGAACAGTTTTGTGGCGAGAGTTCCGGAATTGTTCTTGTCGAACCATGTGATGTCTTGGCGAAGAATCGACTTGAAGAATTGTCTTCTAAGTTGATTCACCAGATTCTCGCAAACGGTCAGAAAACACATTGCCTAAAGGAGTTACAATAATACTAAATCTTGAAATTTGGAACCGCAGTGAATAGCTTCTGAGGGAAAACGAGACTCTAGAGTTCTATATGTCATTGACTTTTAACAATTCAGAGTCAGAAATGCGACTGTACGTGGCCCTACGCTAGGTAGATAGTCGGCTGTAGTAAAGGAATCTTCCACGGAAAAACATCGCCTCCATTCCTACAAAAAAACGATACCTTAGGCCCCTTGCTTCATGAAGATAGCAAAAAGAACGGAACATAGCGATGGTTTTGATAATAATTATGATAACCAGTTCGACTATGAAAATTTTGAATTCCCGCTGTAAAACTTCCACAACTGTTAGCGGCGTGGAGTCAACACGTGCAAACGTGTCAAAAGCGTGAACGTGAACTGGATTCATGTTGGGCCCTTCCCATAAACTGACACGTGGATCCGCACCTGCCACGCACTTCGTCACAGAAGCACTTCCGGTCCCGCCTACTGGTCCAATCCGGTCCCACAGATGGGTCTTTCCAAGGGCTGTTTCTCTTGGGGGTTTCATCATTTTCGCTCTGAACTTTGCATATGGTCTTCAATGACCATGCCCAACACCTGTACACAAGGAAAGGATAAGCAGTCTTTCCGTGGAAGATTCCTTTAAATTGATTAGATTGGTCAAAATGCATGAAGGATCATCCATCGTAAATCGGAAATCGAAATGCAGATAAAATTTAAGAATTATCATGGTTGCCATAGAATTCATATTAAATTTCTAACAAGCTTGGATAATTTAAAAAAAAAATGAAAACTACGAGAGGTCCAATTGACTTGGAGCGCAGAGAAACAGAGCGGAAAGTGAGAGACGTAGAAAGAGTGTAGGTTGTGCTTTCCTACTCTGCACTTTCTACTATATAACCTCTGCTTCTCTGCACTCAGCTTTGTGGGAATTGGTCTGGGGACAACTGCTACCTGAATCGTCGCCGCTGTGAACACTCCGCAACCGAGATACACGTATTTGAGGCAGTTTTGGATCACATCATGTTCGAATTGTTGAATAGCTAAAAATGAAAATAATACTTAAGAAATCGAAACGCAAAATAATAAATGATTGAATTTTACGGAATAGAGTTTTCTCCACCAACAATCACTTTCACTGAATCATTAAATGTTTATAGGAAGAAAACAAATAATGTTTGTAGTGATAAGGAGTAAACGGAAGTGAGCTAAGTAACTTACAGGTCGTGTTTCCAGTAATACTCATGAAGTTTTGTGAAAATGTTACCCTGAACATTAGAAATGGTGAGGTTAGCAGATGAGTAGGTACATCTCCCCTACACTTTCAATCATCTCTACGGCCTTGGTGAAAATGGAGTCATAGCGCTGCCATCTTTGTTTCACCCTTAAAATTTAAGACTTTGAGGTGACTTCCTTATTTGGAGAGGTTGTGGCAAATAATGAATGCTCTCAAATTTGGATGAGATGATTGGTTAACGCGCTTTTCCAGCTTCCTGGTTGGGCGTCTTTGTCGTATGCCGTTTGCATTAGCAGGTTTCAAGGTTACCCACGTTAGCATTATCTCGTTAACACGACGACAGAAACAGGTGGAAGGGAATGAACTGGATTGGGAACAGCGCTTCAGCACTGCCCGGGATTTAGTAGAGACCTTGAGCTTGAAAGCTGTGAAACTTGGATAATCCCGTTATTTGAGGAATCTGACAGTAATTTTTTGACTTACCATAATTATAGACATCATTGGTAATCCGATACCAGTACCCATTGCGACTATTGAGCCGATCACAAGCAGCACCTTATCGAATGTGGTTGTGTAGCGGAACTGAAAACAATCAAGCTGAACATTCGCTATCTATAGTACTCGCAGGAAAAAAAACAGTGATAAGGAGGAAGAAGGAGAGATATGGAGGGAAAAAGGAAAATCCTTCTACTGCTTTCAGCCAAATAGGTTAACCTCTATCTTACCCCTCTTTTTTCTAAATCTTGCGAAAGCATTTTTAGAACCTTGCCGATTATTTGTGGGCTGGATTTTATGGAAACTTTACTAGAGTCGAAGTTCTTGAGAAATGAAGGTAGTACATGAAGATTAATTCGATGACGCGTCATCGACATGATTATCAACCCGCGGTGGTCTGACAGTAAAGGAGTTAATTTATTAAAATTCGGTCCTCTGGTATGAATGCATTAAAAGCCAGCATTAGGCTAACCTTCCAACTACAAAGATTGCCCATCCAATAGTTCAGATACCCTCCGGAAAATTAGAGGCCGAACATTCGCATTCCTTCGCGTTAGCCGCTCGTTACTCCCAAGCCTCAACTAACTCTTCTCTGGTTATAGGTTTCGCTCACATCTTTGTTAAAGGATGCCTATGTTCCAGGACTCAATGCGCGTTTTGGCCTAAGGTACAAGCCACACGAAAGCTCGAGCGTTGCCGTTTTCGCTGGGTCGCTAGTGAGGTTGCTTTTAGACTATTTAAGCGGTGTGAAATTAGGCGGTAATGTTACGCATAGATAACTGAACAAATTGCCTAACAAAAAATCTATTTGACGATGTGCTCCTTTAATTTTGAAAAAATTTTGTGAATGTTTATGCTGTTGCCCACTATTTACTCCAATCTAAATACTCTCCTTGAAAACCTCGCCGGCCTTGATCTTTGCTTGACTCGTATCCCTCAGTAAAACCCTTCCAGTGAGTTATATACCATTCTTGCACTCTTTACGCTGTTCGGACGGGGGAGGAACATTTGATGGTTGTGCAATTTTACGATGTTGTTGCTGCCGAACATAACACACACACCTTCAGAGGAGTTTAAATTGGATGACCTGCTTGCTTTAGCGCATAGCAAACCTCTGTCACTGGGAATTTTTGCGCGTTTTGGAAACCGACACCATAATATTTGAACACCGCGAGGCATTTGCGCCGACGATCTTTACTCAGTGAATGAGCAGCGATGACGAAACCCTCGACGACGATCAGCACAACGGATAGGTGTGAGTCATTACGCGCACGTAAATTCCAGACACTTTTTTTCTGGTTGATCAACCCGAACATCGGGGGAAGGATTTTGAGAAAGGGGAGGCTTCGGATAAAAAAATGAGATGATGAAAGGAAAGAGAGTAGGAAAACTCATGGAATTAAAGGCAAAAAAGCAGTCACGGAGTGAATACAAGACGAAAACGAACAATTTTGAAGCGATGCTGGCTTTCATGTACTTCTCTTCCTTGAAATGAGAATAGGTCATTTGTTCGGTTTTACGAACTTATGCACGTATCTAATGTAAATAGAGTTCCCTTAATTGGCTCTTTTAAGCTCCAACTATCAATTAATATCAATAAATGATTATATTTTATAGTGATTATTATTGATTATTGATATTATTTATTTTGAATTATCATGCAATAGCAGACCACAGATTAATCAGATTACTTTTCCTGCCTCAGCGCCAGCTATTCTGTTCCCAACGCTTTCAGTGGGGAACCCAGGGCGATCTTTGGCCTATCTCGGGTGGCCGCGTTATCGACAGATTTGCCACATGAGGAAAAAACTCGCAAAAACTCGCAGACCTCTCCAAAAACCCTCTACTCAAAATAATCTGCTCAAATTAAAGTAAAATGAAGACAATGGTATCGGTAAGCGGCTTATGATAAATGTTTTATGTTTCTGGTTGTATTCTCTAAACAAAAAAGAAAAAGAACCTTAGCTAGCCTGGCTGGCTCTCACACTGAAAAAAGTTCTGCCAGAATAGTTCTGACTGGGTAATCGGTGTTTCGGCGAGAAAGGGCCTTTCTTTCTTCTACTGGACTCCACGGCCAAGTGTTGTAGCCATTTATGTTGAAAAGTGAATCAATAGGCTGGAATTTGCTCCTTTTTCCCGTCCCCTCCCTTCCCCCTTCCGTTCTCGCTTTTTCCAGCAGGCTCATTTTTCCCTGATTTCCACCTGGTAATACTACAAAATGCTTGCATAAGAAATATCTATCAATTAAAAATAGAAATCATTAACAACGAATAATCGCAAACCCTACCCTCCACCTCCTCCTAATGAAATAAGGAGCCATCTGGAAACCTGAATCACTGGTTTGGCCCAAACGCGGTTATTTTCACCAAAATGTTCCTCACTTATGGTTCTTCAGTTCTCCTTAAGAGCGCAAATGGTTCACCTTGACGAAGCCAGCAGTTTCTCCTCCGCAGAGCCATTGTGGGCTCGTTTTCTTTTTGAAACCCGAACCTGATTGTGGGGCAGAGCGGAGGTTTGGCGGAGCGGCAGGGCGAGGTGGGATCAAAGCGGACGACTGACGTGCGTGCGCCAATGGACACGGGAACGACACTTTCGAAACAAACTTGTTTACAGAGGGGGCGGTGCCGAACGTTGCCTCGGTGATCACCGGGGATCTCCACCTTACGCTGCAGCGCTGACACCTCTCGTGTTGCTGTGTAAGGATCTGCTCGAATACGTTTCAAATTTTCGAGAGGTTTCAGAAAAGGCTGATTCATTAGCACAGCTTTGTGCTACTGCGAACGACTGTCAGTGGTTTAGCGCGAAAGGCGATTTTTGAATTACCCTAATTTTCCGGTGTATAAGCCCGCGCCGATTTCACGTAAAACCACCCCCGCTCGTGCAGTGTAACTTTGTACACCTTAGAAACCACCGCAAATTTGCCTATAGAGGTAAGTCGATGCCCTGATCACGAAAATGACTTTCATTTTCAGCGCTGGCGCCATCTGGCGCCAGTTGGCGCCACCTTGTCACGACCCTTGTTTTCGTCCAAAATCGGTGTAAACTTCAGTATAGGGGTTATTTGGGACCCTGATTACGAATATGACATTCATTATAGGCGCTGGCGCTGTTTGACGCCTATTTTCTGCTCGTCTGCGCTCTCCAACCGAGACATGTGCACTAAACAACGTTAACGCCAAAAACGAATGTCATATTCGTAATCAGGGTCCCAAATAACCCCTATACTGAAGTTTACACCGATTTTGGCGAAAACAAGGGTCGTGACAAGGTGGCGCCAACTGGCGCCAGATGCCGCCACCGCTAAAAACGAATGTCGTTTTCGTGATCAGCATATCGAATTACCCCTATGGGCATGTTACGGTTGACTCTAGATGTACTCAAGTACACTGCACCAGTGGAGGTGTTTTTACATGATACTAGCGGGGGCTTATACACCGGAAAATAGGGTATTTAAACCTTGAACCGATTGATCAATAGAAACGATGTTGT